TTCATTGGAGGATACTTGTGGTACGGTGCCGTTCCGGTGGCCAGCTCTATGGCAAGAATTCCAAAACTCCAAATATCTGCTTTAAAATCATATCCAGTAACCTTTTGGGAAATTCATATTATAACAAATGCACTACGTTAGATACTGTACGAAGAAATACATTAAACGAGAAACACCTACTTGCTCCATCACTTCAGGGGCCATCCAGCACGGCGTGCCGACGAATGTGTGCCGTACTTTCTGCCGTGACAAATCGCCCCCGGTCGCTAGCCACGAAGAAACGCCAAAATCTGCTATTTGAATGGTCCCGTCTTCAGCAAGAAGAATGTTTCCCGCTTTGATATCTCTGCAAACATACACACAAACTAACTGAGCGTTCCTTAACATAAGTCATAAGCACGGAAATCGCAGTATCCTACCTGGCTTCAACTAGCATAGGGATTTAACGGATATCACCATGGCAGATATGACTATACAGTGTGTAAGGCATGGGAGTCCCCAGCTATCCAATAAACGACGTGAAGGAGACGAAGGCTGAACCCGTTTCACAAACCGGCGAAGAAATTAAGACGTTTGCTAGAAACAGCGAGCTTCTCATGCGCGGACTGAATCTTCATACGCCACCCCTGACTGCTGGCAGAGAAACTGAGAACAGCATCACACCATCAAACTTCATGACAAGGGCGCCAGAATAACCCAATCACGAACGTGAAGGATGACCGACACTTCAATGATGACAAACTTCCCTTTTTTTCTTCCGGCCCAACACAACGATGAAGTTTTCATCTACGCACTGCAGCTGACATAGCGGAGCCATGGAACAGTCACCTGTTTAACGGAACACCAAGGACGCTAGAAGCAATGGAACGGCGCTGTGAAAATTCAGAGTATTGATATGTAGCTGTTAATTTACCATTGTCATGTATTTCATTCGTAAAACGAAAATATCAGATTTTTTATACGAAGTAATATATTTGATGCAAAGGTTCTGGATGCAACATTAGTTCGACTGAATTCGAATAAATAAACTTTTACTAACTCTTGCGTTTCGATCGTACAACAACGGTCTTTTTAAAGTGAAAATCCCCGTTCGGCACAAGGAATTGTGTACAATTTCAATCGTAGAAGGAAGGTGATACAAAGTGTCCTTGAGCGGTTGCAATATTAGAAATAAACAAATTTTTTGTTGTCTTCGATTAGACGACCATTCTGTCCAAGGCAAAAATGATTACACCTTATACTGCTGAATATCACACCTACTAGTCAGCAATCAATGAGATAAGGAGAACTGTTATCGTAAGATACTTCAGACAGCAGACGGTACCTCTCATTCACTCTGATATGATCACACCAGGGCACGATGCTTACCCTGTTGTTCGCAAGTCTATCAGTTGCTGCCTGTTTTTCCGCCAGCTGCACCGACGTAACGTGGGGTAAATTACTTGTTCAAGGGATTGGCGGTTAAAAGAAAAGTTTCTTTATAAGGATTGAAACCCGACTTCTTATCACTGCGCCACAGCCCCCTTTTGGTTCCAGAAAACCGTCGCATCACGGCGATCATTAACTTAGGAGGTATCTGGTTCAGAATCAAGATGAATTTTAGATGTTATGAAAGTTTTATAAAATTCCTGTCAGTCTAGTCCATTAAGACAAAAGTGTATGTAATATCACTGAAATTTACCTGTGAATTTGTCCATTGTTGTGAAAGTACTCCAAGCCTCTAAGAACTTCTTTAAGAATCGTGGCGATTGTGACTTCGTCGAGAACACCGTGCTTGCAGTCGGTGTTTTTCATTTTACTCTTCAGAATGTCCAATAAAGACCCTAAAAAGGAAAAACTGAACTGCCAGTGAATAGCCAAACAGAACCTGTTTCACTCCAAGAGCCAAAACAGTACCCCAAACATATTTCTTGTATTAATTAGCTTACGAAACTTTATTAAATTTATATTGAACATCATGTTCGGTGCGCATCCTCACACAAATTAAACAAAATGCCGAAAGTTTCCTTTCTAAATTACGCTGTAATACATATAAAATAAATGCATCAATAGTGAAGCTGAATCTTGCCCATTCCATCATGAGCCTCTTGTGATCAACATTTGGATGCTTCGCCAAGTGGTAAAAACGCGAAAGTGGAGCGATTCTAGCAAACGTTCTAAGAGTAGACGACAATCTTTCACAGAAGTTTCATAGGGTAATAATACGGACGACTGACCCTCTCTTTCCTCAGCCCGTTGGTGGCTCCTCTACGCTGAATACCTGATATCATTGTGCTTTCAAATTCAGTCAGCGGAGTTTGTCGAGTGACGAGGACAGGGATGAATGAAAGAAACCTCTTAAAAATCCTGCCTCCGCAATCTGAAAAGACCATGATTGAGAAAACAGAAAAATGAGTTATTAAGCCAGCACAGACTAAGCTATCAGATTTTGGCAAGTCGTGTGCTACATCTAGCTTGTTAATTCATGTTTCAAGCAGGGTGGAAAGAAAACATGTAAATAGCGACTATCTTTCATTGTTCATTTACGCACTCGTTACTGGCAAACAAACGTATGATGCAACAAACGCACAAAATATTTTACACATTGCATAGTCCTATGAACAAATCTTTTAGCTTCCACAGTGAAAGCACTATAACAAAAAGTATCTTAAGATTGAGCCCAGCATAAAAAGATCCCTTATACCGATCTTGGCGATGACTCGCAAGAACTGCAGAACTGAAACGCACGACTGTGCAAATACAGTAAAACTTCTATTCAGCATATCGATAAATAACATCAAGAAATCAGAAGCAGAAAAATATTCAGTGAATAATGGTTTCATCGCATGAAGCAACATTTACTCGGAATTTTACCGTACACATAAACATACGATGGTTTGGGCATGTTCTGCGAATGTTTCCAGAAAGAAACGTTAAACAGCTACTATTTGCCCAACAGGGGATGGCCAAAGAAAACTTGGGGCAAATGTATCGAAGGACTATGCTCCAGACTCAGCTTGTCTTCTGTCGAAACTCAAACGCTGGCACAGGATCGGGAACGTTGGAGAAAATGTCAGACGCAACCCAAATCACAAAC